GACAGACAGACAGACAGAGTAACACTTAGACAAGCTAAAATAGGTTGAAATATAGCATGTAACATAAAACTTCCGAGTAGAATAAGCAAAGAAAGAAAGAAAGAATGAATGAATGAAAGAAAGAAAATAACGAAAGAAAAATGAATGACAGAAAGAAAGAATGAAAGAAAAAAAGCGAAAGAAAGAAAAACGGAAAGCCTAAGAAAAGACTATTTAACATCTGAAAGAAAGAAAGAAAGAAAGAAAGAAAGAAAGAAAGAAAGAAAGGCAGTACAATAGTGAAAGAGAAAGTAAAAATATTAAAAAGAAAGAAATATTACAAATTAAATATTGGAAAAAAAGAAAGAGAAACAAAGAAAAAAAGAAGAAGAGTCGAAGAGAAATAAATAACGATTAAAAAGAAGATAAAATTAAGGATTGAAAAAAGAAAGAAAGACATAAATAAAACTGAAAGATAAATAAAGATTAAAAAGAAATAGCAAAAAATTAAAGAGAAAGAAAGAAAAAAAGAAATATTTAAAAAGAAATATTAAAAATTAAAGAAAGAAAGAAAGAAATGAAAAAAAAGAAAGGAAAGGAAGGAATTATTGATTCATTCATTTTTCACGGTTTATCAACCCATTGTAGGTTATTTAAAACCAAAAAGCATTCTGATATTGTAATATTTTTTGAGGTAATAATGATTTACTGATACTATTACTAATTAACCCATGGCTGGGGGAAGTGGTAGATTCATACTTTTCTCAAGGGTATTTGCATCTAAGTGAATTAAATGAACCAACTGAAATTGGAACTCAGCTCTCCAATTAACAATTTCGAGCCTTTAGCTATTACACCACCGGCACATCCAAGCTTACAGAACCTGGTATTCAGCAAGGTATTGACCAGGCTCGACGTTGATTAACTTCAGTGATTGCACGGGAAAGTGATGTGGTCGTAAGCATCAGAAGGAAGAATGAACAGACTGAAAGAGAGAAAAAAAAAAGATTAAAAATGAATAAACTGGGAAAGAAAGATCAAGAGTGGAAGAGAAAGAAAAATTCAAAAGAATGAATGATAAAAGATGAAATTAAAATAAGGAAAACGATAAAAAGGCAGAAAAAAATGAGTCAAAATTGAAAGAAATAAAGAGAAAAGAAAGAAAAACAAAGTGAGAGAGAAATAAGAGTTAAAAAAAGAAGGAGAAAAATTAAAGAAGGAAAAAAATAAAGAAAGAAAACGAATTAAATAAGAAAAATGAAAGAAAATAAAGTAAAAACGAATGAATGATTAAAAACGAAAGGCAAAAGATAGAACGGATATGAAGAAAATGGCTGAATAGGTAGAAAGAGAATACAACAAAGAAAAGAAAAGCCGAAAAAGCAAAGGAAATAAATAAATGAAAAGAAAGTAACAACAGATGAAAAAAAAAAAAATGAAAATAAGATGAGAGAAACTACATGAATAAAAAACGGATAAAATGACAAAAGGAATGAATATTTAGGAAGAAAAGAAAAAAACCTAAAGTATGAAGGAAATAAATAACGAAAGAAGAATAGAAAGAAAGAAAGAAATAATTACTGAAATCACAAAGAAAAAAAAAACGAAAGAAAAGGAGCCAACAATTATCAAAAGAATGAAAGCTTAATAAAAGCAGAAAGAGAAAAAGATAGAATTTCTTTTGATCAACAAAAAAATCTTTATGCAAGTTAGAAACAATAGTTAATGTCTCTATAATGTTTACATAAAAATAATTTGCGAAACAAATAAAACAACAGCAAACAACAAAAAGATAAAAACAACAGCAACAACAAAAAGATATAGCGGTAATATTTTTTGTTACGTTTTCTCAGCCATCCACTAAAATCTGGTTTCTGAACTTGACATCTTTAGTAATTATTAAAGAAAAATAAACTGTTAAAAAAGAAAGAAAAAGAAAGAAAAAGAAAGAAAAAGAAAGAAAAAAAAGCAGACGACCCTCCTGGTTGAAGGTATTGCGTATTTTCCCACGGTAAGTAGCAGAGAAATACTTGAGCACAGATAAAAAAAACAGGATTTTAAATACTGATTTTCAAGCCCAACAGATCCATTCAATTTGGCGTCACACAATCTTCCTATCCACGTCTGGGCTTATATCGAACTAAACTTAACAGGTTACTCGTAAAAAATGACTTCATACGGGTAACCTGCTAAGTTTACGTATCGAGCGATATATCTGGATTAGGATTAATGTATTATTTTTGTGTTCATTTCCATTTTGTATTGGAAAACAACGAATAACCTCTGTAAGGAGATTGTGTAGATGAATGACAGAAAGAGAAATGGGAGAGATAAGGGAAATGCTAAGAGCTACAAAAAGAGAAGCTGTGGAGAGATACGATCACAGGCGCCCTGTCGAAACAGAATGCACATACGCTGAAGATTGAACAAAGGAAGAAAAGGTAGGGAAAATCACGAGGGTATATTTTCTAGAGGAAAATGGAAAATTTGATAGAGATAAAAAGTAGCCAAGATTGACCATTTTCTGATCTTTTAAGATGGCGCACGATTCATTTAATCATCGGGAGCTGCTTCGACTTTAAGATACACTGGAAATATGTTTGATATCTTATCTTCAGCATGGCTTCTCGTTTTCGAGCACGACCATCTACTCAGGACCGTTTGTGTTTCTTCAACAAACACAGAGCCAACCTGTAGTTTATACTGCTACTATACTCAAACAGACCTCAGTGTCAGTTGAAGTATGTGCTTCACTAGAGACAAATACGGTTTTGAATTCAAAGTTTTCCTTCTCCTATACTGGTTTCAACCACGGTGTCTCGAACCATTACACCATCAAGCAACCAAACTTTATTTAATGATTACGGCCACATCACAAAAAATTCCTGATGATCTAAAAATATCTTCTGGCTTTAAATAATCTGCAAAGGGTTAATAAAACGTAAAAATGAATCAATCATTTAATGATGATGTCATTATCTTCGAACATGTTGTATACCACAGAAGATAAACATCACGTTATTATCATATATTACCATATCACAGTATTAACATATATTAACTCATATATTAACATATATTAACATATATTACCATATTACAGTATTAACATATATTATCACATATATTAATATATATTAATATATCACAGTATTATACATATATTAACATATATATTAACATGTATTAGTATATTGTTGTAGCCAGTTTAGTGGCCAGAAAGAAAGACACAGATGGTAGGTTGAACAAGTGTATTGAAATAACAGATATATACAAAGCAAGAGCAATAAGCAGATAGAGGTGTACGTCCGAATGGTAGATTAACACTGCGTCTCGCCTGCCCAACGACTATATTTAACAGCACCCCCACCCACGAGGAATGTATGTGGCACAAGGCTGAGTTTAACGTGGGTTTCTCCGAGCCCGTAGGCCCGGCCAAAAATATTCCCTTTGAACCCGCATAAGCGGGTTCGGGATCTGTCTACCTCCCCGGACGAAGCTTTGCCGAAGGTTCCTCTCTGCCAAAGCAGAGAGTTCGACAGAAGTCGCACACAGTCAGAAACTGCGTCTCGACTGCTCAACGACGCTATTTAGTAACTGCCCCACGCAGTCACATGTGGCACAAGGCCGAATTTAAAGTGGGGTTCCCGAGCCCGTAGGCTCGGCCAAAAAATCCCCGTAGACTCCGCATAAATGGGATCGGGTCTGTCTACCTCCCCGGACGAAACTCAGCCCTTCGGCATAGCCTCGTCCGGGTTCCTCTCGGCCAAAGCAGAGAGTTCGACAGAAGTCGCACACTGTCAGCGACTGCTCAACGACTGCCCTAGGAAGTCTCACAGTTAGTATTTATGAGAGGAGGAAGAGCTCATTCTACTATAGGAGGGTTTACCACAACAGATATCACAGTATTAACATATATTAACACTTGAGGAAATGCCTGCACAAACTACATGAAAATTAGCTAAACAGTTCAATACAAATTACAGTTCGATCATGACAGACATTGATATACTCAGAAGAATATCTAAACTTGATCAGATGCACCTCAATATCTGACTCAAAAAGTTGAGCTATGTTCATCACTGATAAGTAAACTTATCTTTCCTGGGTAAAATCATTACCAGCGATGAAAAGTGGGTAATTAACACCCACTGAAAAAGTCGAACCAATCTTCAAATCCGTATTATACCCAAAAGTTATGAATGATATCTTTGGTGTGATATGAAGTTTGTCGTCTATCATGAAGTATTAAAAAAAAAAAGAGAAATTTGATGTGATGCATTGTTGCCAGTTGGAAACATTGCATTAAAATTCGCAGCATAAAAAAAACAAACCATTTGTTTATTTGTGCTACTCTGCAAGCCCGCATATTGCCCGAGTCACTCGGGAAAAGGCAATAAATATAAATGGCTTGCATTCTCCTTCTGACACTCCCGACCTTGCTTCATCTGATCAACACCTTTTCAAAGCATTGCATTTTCTTTTATTTGTGAAGAGATTGTTTTCTTGCATCGACACCTGAAGAAGTTTGTGCCCGGGGGATCAACATTTTGCTAAATTATGTTATTGATAACGAGGTGACATATAACGTTGAATAAATATATTAGTTAAGATCAAAGAAGTATTGTTTTTATTTTTACATCTACAAATGCGACAAGACTTTCTTTCCAACCAGACACACACGCGCGCGTGCATACACACACACTTTTACATTAATGCTGGCGTTCCCAAGAGCTTTATCCTTGCACCCAACTTGTTTCTAATTTTCATCAACGACCTTCCTGATGACATCAGTTCTAAATTCGGTATCTATTCCTGTCTTAATAGTAAGTCTGAGAGGTTTGATAAGGTCAAATTGGTAGCCGATCTCAAAAACGATATACTTTCTGTTGTTAACTGGTGCAAGAAATGGCTTGCTAATTTTAGCATCTCCAAAACGAAACTTCCCCCTTAATCGTCTTAGAGAAGCATTTCTGCCTTCTATCAGCATAGCTGATGCTAACCTCTAGCAGGGTCATTCTTTGCGTCGTTGACATGAAGTCGAAAGATTATATCAAGTAAATTACTAGGTCTGCTGATAAGACATTTTTTCTCACCAGAATCTATCTTAAATAGTTATAAGTCTACCATTCGTCCTTGCTTTGAATATTACTGCTACATTTTTCTGGTGCTCCTGCTATGTATTCAAAGATTCTTGATAAAATCAAAAGAAGAATCTGCAATGTTATTGGATCTGACCTGGCATCTCACTTTCAGTCACTTTCCCACCGGCGTCATCTAGATTCTCTGTGCTTTTACTATAAATACTTTAAATGCAAATGTTTTGATGAACTTTCTTCTATGGTAAATAGCCTTTATGAATTTAAGCGCAGTGCGAGACTGAGGGCAATGTCTCATCGCTTTCTACTCGAAATGGCGAGATGTAGCTATATGCTCTATGCTAAAATCCCTTGAGTCTTAGTTCCTTTATCTCCTTGTTTGTAGCAAAATGATATATATATATATATATATATATATATATAGAGAGAGAGAGAGAGTGATTTTCCAATCGTAGGCGTAGCTAAGATGTAGCACAAGGCCGAAAAATATGGAGCACCCAGTGAGGATCGAACTCTCTACTCAGGAATAATTGTTCTAGTGAGACAAATTTACTAACCATTATACCGCCTCGAGTTTCACACACACACACACACACACATATATATATATATATATATATATATATATATATATATATATATATATATATATATATATATATATATATATATATATATATATATATATATATATATATATATATATATATATATATATATATATATATATATATATATATAAAAAACAGACCACTTTAAGGTTCCATTATAATAACTTATTTCACCAGAGCCCTTTTAAGGGACGCTGGATCATCAGATAACACTTCCAAAAATGAAAGATGAAATGAAAATTCACACTTTTGATGGGTAGTATCAAGTTTATGTAATTTAACAGAGAGGGTAGGGAGGAGTGGTGGGAGAGACATGATTAAGTTTAGAGAGGGTTTATTTTAATATTTCTTTCAATCATACTTAGTATTGGGGAAGGAGGGACCAGACCTTGACCTTTTTAAACGGCTAACTTAACGGAAGTGATATATTGAAATGGAAGGGGAGAAGAGCGAAAAAGAAAAAGAATAAGAAAAAGAAAAAAAATAGATATAATTTATTTAAGCAAATGTTCTGTTTTTAATTAGACAGTGTTAATTATATTTACTGACCTGTAAAAATTTCGTAGAAAATACGCGTTTTCCGACTGGAATCGAACCTGTATTCATATACGGAAACCGTCATTCAACTCCAGAGAAGCGTCTGGTTAACAATGTCCGAATTACTGTTTATAAATACACAATCTACGAAGATTTTTCTCGATCGAGCATTTCTGCTCACGAAACGTATCTTAACACAATTTTCCTTTTGAATTTGTTGGTCTGATGAATTGGATCGTATTTACGATTCCAATGAAATAAATTATGACCATGGAATATTAGTGTTTAAGCCTTTTTTATATATATATATATATATATATATATATATATATATATATATATATATATATATATATATATATATATATATATATATATATATATTAAAAAGAAGGTATGTATATTTCATTTAATCCACCAGTAATTTCTAGTACATTAATTTTGCACTCCTCCTCCTCCTCCTTCTCCACAATTTCTACCATACCTCACATCGTGTACTTATTCATTTATTTATTTTTTTAAATATATAATGTTCATAAATTTTTATTTTTAATAAAAGAAAGCGTTAGGAAATCTCCTGAAGATACCAAAAGGCGAGATGTAAACATATGCAAGGTAATTTTTTATACTATATATATATATATATGTGTGAAAAGTGTATATAAATATAAATAAATATATATATATATGTATAATTGATTATATATTATATGCGCGGTACTTATTAAAAGCGCTCAATATCAGAGATAGAGCTAACATATTTGGTTGGATTGATGTGAGTTTGTGACCCTGGGTTTCACGCTTTTGTTGTCTGACGATCACAAAAGCGTGAAACTCAGGGTCACAAACTCACATCTATCCAACCAAATATATATATATATATATATATATATATATATATATATATATATATATATATATATATATCTATATATATATATATTTCTGAGATGAGGATTATGTACACTATTTACATTATTGAGGACAATAGTCCGAATAATGTAAATAGTATATATATATATATATATATATATATATATATATTACTTGATATATATATTACTTGAAACATTACTTTTAGTGCAAGGTCGAAAGTATAGGTCACCCAAAATAGGATTGAAGTCACTATTCAGTCGTAAATGATCTAGCCAGACAAGCTAGCTAACCATTATATCACGTCGAGGTGTCTTAAAATGATTGTCTAAGCGTAGCTTAGATGTGACAGAAGGCCGAAAACATGAGGCACCCAGTGAGGACCGAACTCGCTATTTGTA